GGCAAACTCATTAGTCAACAGAGCCAAATATCAACAGTACAACGATTGAAATTTCTTTTGAGAGCCAAATTTTTTAAACTTAAACTATACAGGTAGGTACATTGTTATTAACTTAATTAGGGTACTCCTAAGGCTTAGGAAGAGCCACACTCAAGGGGCCAAAGAGACGCATGTGGCTCACAAGCCGCAGTTTGCCGACCACTGTCCTAGACACTAGAGCAAAGTGAGCCTGGAGCACATTACTGTTGTGGTGGGGGATGGAGGGAAAGCAAAGGTGAGAGACATAAGTAAAATCAGAGTGTCTAGGAAAAATTAAAGAGAAGATATCCTAAAACTTCCAGGAAATCTCCACCAATAGAGCAAAGGAAAAAAAAATGCCTCTATTATTCTGTGAGAACAAACCAAACTGGGTTGGGGGTCTCAGACAATTCGCTCATATGATTGCAAAGACAGACAGAAACTCCCAGATTGGAAAGAGCTCCCCTGAGGGCTTCCAGATTGGAGAGGGTGCAGGTGGGGCTGACGGACTCCCCTCTCCACCCCCCCATCTGCACCCCCCAGTGCATGAACCTTCGTGCACCGGGCCCCTGATATATATATATATGATATAGAAATTATCATCCAGTACATGAAAATATTCTCAGCATTATTAGTTATTAGTGAAATGTAAATTAAAATCACAATTATATACCAACCACTTCATACCCACATGGATAATTATAATCCAATGAAAGGGAAATAAGAAGTCTTGGCAAGGATGTGGAGAAATTGGAACCCTCATGTATCAGTGATTAAAATGTTAAATGGTTCAACCACTGTGAAAACAGTTTGCAGTTTCCTCAAAGAGTTAAACATATAAAGTTATACATATGACCTATCAATTTTATTCATAGGTATGTACCCCCCAAAATAAAATAAGTACTAAAAAAATACTTGTACACAAATGCTCTTACTACACCATTCACAATCACCAAAGGGTGGGAACAACCCAAATGTCCATCAACAAATGAATGGATAATCAAATTGTGGTATATACATACAATGGAATATTATTCAGATAGAATAAAGTACTGATACATATTACAACATGAATGAACCTCAACAGCTACAGAGATAACATTTTCACTTATCATTTTGGCAAACATTCAAAAGCATGACAACACATTTTGTTATGGGAAACACATGTTCACAAGGTTGGTAGCAATACAAAATGGTACAACCTTTATGGAGTAAAATTTGGCAATATGTCACAAAACTACATATGACTTTATCCTTTTAACCAGCAATTGCACTTTTAGAACTTGACCCTGATGTTACACCTCCAGCAATACAGAAAATATACACATAATTGTTTGTTGCAGCACATTTGTAATAGCAAAATCTTGGAAAATACATAAATGCCCATATATGGCAGATTGGTTGAATGACTAAGATGTGTGAACATGGAGGCATAGAATGCAGCCATAAGTAAGAAAAGGGAACTCTGGAAATATTACTGAATGACAATAGCAAGGTGCACATGAACATATCTGTGCAAGAAAAAAATGGAATTAAGGAATCAAGTAACTAATTATCTTTATCTTGCACAAAAAATTCCAAAGAATTAATTTATTTTTTTGAAAAAAAGGGGGTGGGAATACTGTGATTCAGCACATTCTCTGAGGTCAGTGTAAACTTGCTACAAAACCAGGCAAGGACTATATGAGAAAGGAAAGTTACAGGCCCAGTTCCGTTGTGAACATAGATGTAAAATTCCTTAAAAATAGTAAACTGGCCTGGCCACAGTGGTTCAGTGGTTAAGCACTGACCTATGAGGAGGTCATGGTTTAATTTCCGTTCGGGGCATATGCCTGGGTTGTGAGTTCTATCCCTGATTGTGCATGAGGCAGTCTATCAATAATTCTTTCTCATCATTGATGTTCCTATCTCTCTCTCCCTCTCCCATCCTCTCTTTAATCAATAAAGATTTTTTTAAGTAGTAAACTGAAAAAAAGATGGATGGGCATAGAGGGTATTGTGCTGAGTGAAATAAGGTCAGACAGAGAAAGACAAATGCCATATGATTTCACTTGTGTGTGGAATCTAAAAACCAAAATAAATAAACAAGAACAATAGAAACAAAATTATTGATTTTTCACAGAGAGGAAGGGAGAGAAATAGAGAGTTAGAAACATCAGTCTGCAGGCCAACGCTCCATCAACTGAGCCAAACCCATTAGGGCAAGAACATTTTGATGGTTGCCATATGAAAGGGAGTTTGGGGGTTAAAAAAGTGAAGAAATAGTCATGGGGATGTAAAGTATAGCGTAGGGAATATTATCAATAATATTGTAATAACTCTCTATGGTATCCGGTGTTACACCCCCAGCAATACAGAAAATATACACATAATTGTATATCTAGGTACTAGATTTATCAGGATGATCACTTGCTCAGTTATATAAATGTCTAATCACTGGATATACACCTGAAGCTGAGATAATATTATATTATTGAAAATAACAAATGAAAACAAATAACCAAAGAGTTACAATACCGCCCTAACTGGTTTGGCTCAGCGGATAGAGCGTCGGCCTGCGGACTGAAGGGTCCCAGGTTCAATTCCAGTCAAGGGCATGTACCTTGGTTGCGGGCACATCCCCAGTAGGGTGTGTGCAGGAGGCAGCTGATCGATGTTTCTAACTCTCTATTTCTCTCCCTTCCTCTCTGTGAAAAATCAATAAAATATATTTTTTTTAAAAAGAGTTACAATGCTATTTACGATTTCATTTGAAGATTCAAGCCTCTAGGAATAAATATAACAAAGACATGGAAAACTTACAAAGTTTTGTGAAAGAACGTTAACAAGACTTGGATGAGAGAAATAACAAGGTTAAGCTTAGGCGGATGAAAAGGGTGTAGATTTGAAAACGCTACCACACCCTGGAGTGGGTGTGGTCAGGAGGTGCTTGGATTTCTGCCAAACCCTCCAGATAGATCGGAATACACCGTAAAAAGCCAATCACAGCATGCCTTCTCTTTTCCCTCCTTCCCTCTCATTTCCCCTAAACTGCGCCTGTTCAAACCCAGCAGTCCTCAGCCAGGACTTACCACCATCCTGCCAGCAGCATGAAGCCTGTGCTGCTCCTTCAGCTCCTGCTGGTGATTCATCTAGCACCACAGCTGGTGCCTGCGAGTCCCAAGCAACAATTTATGAGTAGGTGCTGGGGCCCGGCCCAGGCGAGGGAAGAAGCATCTGTAGAGATGGGGGGATCTGAGGGCCAATTCAGGGGCATACCTCATGAGAAAACACCGTATGTTCAAGAGTCCAGATTTTATTGTCATTTAAGATCTAGGTTGGAATACCTGCTCTGTTCCTTACTGAGTGATCTTGAGCAAAGTGTCTGGGCCTCGGATTTTATCTTTGTGATGAATATAATGATATTGGGGTAGTTGGGAGGAGAAACTGAGCTAATGATGCATAGAGCACTCTTACTGGACCATGGTCAATGCTCGGTAAGTATTAACTACAGCAAATGTTATCAGCCTCATCAGCCAGCTGATTCTTGCTGCCCTGCTTCCTTCATGGATATTTGGGCCAACTTTTCAAGCATTAAAGCAGAGAGGAAAATTAAGTTGGTAGAACTCAAACTGGAACCTACATAGTCTTGGTTTGGGAAGATGTTTTAGGAAGAAAGGAAAGCCTTGCATTTCATTCCACCGTTTAAAAATTCAGAGGTACCCACACAATTACCAGCGATTAGCATCAATCCGAAGCTCTATACAATTATTACTCAGTAAATATAATCCATCTCAGGAGCCACCATTGACCAGCTCAACCTAACAAGAGCGCTGGCCACAGTAATGTTGACCTTGACCGATACCAAAAGGAAAATGAACTATTATTCATCATGCCTGCACGTTTCTGAGGACATCTTCAGAATATTGGGGGCTCAGAGCAGGAATACATGTGGTATGTCATGTGTCAAGATAGACAAGATCCTGTTTTAGGGTCTCAGAGAAAGTTTGTATGACTGAGGAAGGCTAAGCAAGCTGCAAGAGAATGGGGGTATCCCGGGTGGAGTTAATTGGAGAATCAAGAACTAAAATTTGCATATAGGCACAAACAGGCTCTCTGTAAGACTGGCAAGTGCTATGACTGGTATTGCAACTAGATACCCAGAAGAGCAGTCAAAACTTGAGAAGGTCGATCTTTCTGAGATCCTGGTTGATGGATTCCTTCCCCATGCTCTTTCACGGAAGCCCATCCTCTCCAAAATGGGGACCAGTTCCAGTTTCTTGCACTGACTCAGATTGTCAACGGCTTGGGCCTGGGCTTCTTTCACCCCATCTCTGGTGCCATTTGCTGTTGTAATTACAGCCCCACTTTTATTCACTTATTTTTTTGAGACCAGCTTTGATATCCCACAGACCCACTTCTAATTTCAAATACCTGCAGAGTAATACATCAACAGGGGCTTATAGAATGTCCCACCTATGACATTTGCCCTAAAGAAGGGACATGTCACAAGATACAAAATTTAAGGCCTGGCTGGGCTTAGATAAAGGGGTTAATGGGGCCCATCCTTAATGAGGCCCATCCTTAATGCCTTAGAAATCAGAAACAAAGAGAAGATTGTGACTTGAAGGCCTGGGACAGAGTCTCCTGGTGGAGGTAATCTTGGCTTTGATCTGAGTACTGGAGGCTGAGGGGAATGAGATGTCAGCATGAAGATTCATAGTCTTCTCCTGAACAGCAAAGATCTGCGAAGGAGGAGAAGCTGATCTTTGACCCCAGAACCTGACCCCACTCTGAAATACCCACTCTTCTCCCCAGGAAAGAAGTCACACCCAGAACTCATTTGGGATTTGGGTTCTAGCATTCTGATGCCAGTGCCTTTTGTGTGCTGTGTGGTCTTTATCCTTTCCCAAAACATTCCCTTCCATTCATTCTTCTATACACAAATAACACATGTTAAGTTGACCCTGGGCTAAACTATAAGAGAGGCTTTACGACTCATTTGAGACCACATAATGAGTCAGTGCAAATGGATCTACATACCCCTTTCTTGCTCACCATAAGTACCATTCATTCCCTTGAACTGGACCCAACCAAGTTTCTGGGGACTGGGCATCTGATCTGCAAGGATGGTGAATGACCAACGGATGTAGGGTTCTAACAAACTGTGTTTTTGATCAAATATCCAAGCCCTGATTTTCCCTGCTGAGAACTATATAGAAGGCAGCAGCTAAGGAAAAAAAATCTTATTCCACTTTCCTGTGGCCACACAAGGAAGCTCAGGGTGGCTGGTTTCCTGGCAGCTCCTTGGGCTTCTGGAGTTCTGAGTGTTACTCCAGCCTGTTGTTTAGGCCCTTTCTTTCCTGTTCTGTGTTCCAGAGTATATTTTGGAGCCTCCGCCGTGCAGAGTGGGCCCTGAAAACTGTACTCATTTCTGTACAATGCAGGAAGATTGCCCACAAGGACTTCAGTGCTGCTCTGCCTTCTGCGGGACAGTCTGCACATTCAACAAAAATATAATCCATAAAAAGTAAGGAGCTTCTCCTGCCCAGGCCTGACCCTGGAACTGCTGGTGGGAGCTCAACAGAAGAATATCTTACCAGCCATTATGTCATTCTCTCTAACGTTCTCCCTCTCTTTACCAAGAATAATTTCCATAAATGTCATGATTAAGAGTCTTCCTCCACCCCTGAACTCCAGAATCCTTCTCTCCTCATCAACACTTCTATGAATCTATGAATCTAACTCTCTGAACACATCCACAAACCCCTCCATTCACAGACCCTGTCCTGTCCCAGCATCCAGCTTTATCCTGGGGTCTAGGACACTGTATCTATCTGTCACCAAAATCCAAAAGCAAATTGTTGTGTTTTTGCTTGCCCTCTTTCACCAAACATCATCCTTTGGCCCCTAGTATTCCTGGGTTTTGGAGATCCTCCAGCCCAAGGGAAGCTTTGGTTAATCACCAGGAAAATTCACCAAAGTCTGCTGAATGAAGAGCAGAGAAAGGGCATTAGAGTGTTGATGAGACATCTAGTTTCCAATCCTATCTTGCAACTATCTTTCTATGACCTTGAGTAAGACAATTCCCCATTTTTGCCTTTTTTTTTCATGCAAAAAATGGGGACTCATTTTTTCAAACTTGCAAGATTGTAAGTCTCAAATGAGGTCTCAAAAGACCCACAAGGCAGGAGACTCAACCAGTGAGCTTCTAAAATGTTTTATTCTCTGCTTGGTTCCCTTCCCTGAACACAATACCCTACATATGAGACAAGGTACAAAGTGATGAAGTATGGGCCCAGAGCCAGAGAACTAGACTCAAATCCCGGCTCTACCAATTCCTAGCTGAATGATCTCAGACAAGTTAATTCACCTCTCTCTGGGCATCAACTTTCTCATCTTTAAGACTAGAACAATAATAATGAGAATAAAATAGATAATCCACGCAAGCTCTATATAATTATTACTCAGGAAATTTTAGCAATTTCTGTCTTCAGAGACTGGCCCTTGCAATTAAAACCCACATCTTTCAAGGCTCCACATCGGAGACAGAAATAAGTATGACTCCGAGTTGCCACTGAGTTCTTTAAGGTTTTACTTTCCCTGTGGCAGAAGAACTTAGCTTCATGATCTAGTCTTAAAGATGGAAGTAATGGAAAATAAAATATTATATCTATAAGAATAGAATTTAACCAGATAATATTTGAAAATATTTTTCTCCCACAGACCAAAAGGCAAATCGTGGAAAAGGAAGATGGGCAAATGAGGCATGTTTCCAAGGGCATTTTGTAAGTATCAGCGTTCAGCCTGGCATTCCTGGTGTGAGTTCTCCCAGTTTTCCTCCCCTAGCCTCTGTAGGGGCACCAATATTCCCATAAGGTCAGAATAGCCTTTGTCATTTAGATTGTGCCCCTTTTCTATTATTCCCCTCCTAGGGCTGTTCTCACTCCCTGGGGCAGAATGTGATCCAGGGCAAATTATGCCACATAGAGCAGGAGACATGGGGAGGGGGGGCGGAGGGGGGAGGGGCGCTCAGCAACACGACACAGGGCACTCAGGTCTGAGTCTGTGCCAGGGAACAGGCTCTGCCAGCCTCCAGATTAACAGTGTCCTGAGTTGGAAGTCAAGCTGAGCTCTTCACACTCTATGTGGCCTTGGTCAGCCCACTTTCCATCTCTGAGCCTGTCAGCTTCCTCATGTCAAAGATGAAGAGGACACGGTGCCTCAGGTTTTGTGAGAACACACGAGGCCATGTGAAATGGAAGAACTTGGTCGTTACAAGGAGTCTACAAAGGTTAGCAGCTGCCAGCAACTCACTCTTTCTGGGTTCCAGGTTTTTCCTCTTAAAAAAAAAAAAAGATCATTTTTATTACTTTACCAATGTCCCAAGAAAGGTGCGCAAAATAGAGCCCTCTGTCACTCCACCCCAAAACAAAGGAACTATTCGTAACTTGGTGGATTTTGATTCAGACTGTTTGTGGGGAAAAGGAGCAGCTTAGGATCTTCTAATAATCCTTCTGAAGCCACCAGAGTTTCCAAGTTAGAACAATGGTATTTTCACTTAGACTGTTCTTTTATTAACACCACGCGAAGGAGCTGGATAAATGGTAGCAAGTGGAGGTTAATGGAGGAGTATAAGTGTGTGTGCACACTTTCACTCTCGCTCAAGCCCCGGTAAGTCAGCCGTGCTAATTTCCTCTGCATCTTGTACATAATTAACTACTCAGGCCACACACTGGCCATCAGTGGATGCATCAGCATTGCTTCATAATCCAGGGCCCATTCAGCTGGGAGATACTGAGCTGAGGTAGAACCCAGGTGTTATATTCATGGGAAAGGCTGGCTGGTGTGACTATATAGAGTATTCTTATAGCAGTTTCAGGGTTACATGACTGTGGTTATATGAAGCTTAGTAAGCCTCATCTCAACACATTACCTGAAGAGGCAGGACTTCACTTTGGACAAGCATAAAAACATTGCCATAAACCTGAGTGTGTCTTCTATGGAATCAGCACCCCATCCTGTTATCTTCTGGTAGGATCAGCTAAGACTGTCCCCTCCAAGGCATCACATTAACTGTAACATCTGTGAGATATAGTATTAGAGTGTTTGCTCTCCCTGATCCTGCAGTCTCTCCTCTGCAGAATGGTTCCTCTCAACTGACCATTACTGCTCTGGGGGCCTGGTGTTGCTGGGAAGATCAGGTGAAGAAGGAGATGGTAGCCCTAACCGGTTTGGCTCAGTGGATAGAGCGTTGGCCTGCGGACTCAAGGGTCCCGGGTTCGATTCCTGTCAAGGGCATGTATCTTGGTTGCGGGCACATCCCCAGTAGGGGGCGTGTAGGAGGCATGTTTCTCTCTCATCGATGTTTCTAACTCTCTATTCCTCTCCCCTACTCTCTGTAAAAAATCAATAAAATATATTTTAAAAAAAGAAGAAGGAGATGGTAGTGCCAGTGAGGGCCTGAGAAAAAAATGTTTTTAAAAAAGAAGAAGAAGGAGATGGTAGTGCCAGTGAGGGCCTGAGAAAAAAATGTTGATCTTGTTCCCACAAAGGGTAGTGCTGAGCTTCTTATGGTGAGCTGGAATGGAGGGCAGCCCAAGGAGACCTTATCACAGTCTTCTATGAAGCCTGGGCTCTGATCGGTGTTGTCAACATTATTTTTAATGTGAACATTTTAGCCATGGCTTTGCTTCATCTCATTTGGTCCTCACAGCAATGGTAATACCCAGTTTACAGACTAGGAAACTGAGGATCAAAGAATTAAAGTAATATGCTCAGCATTAGCCAACTGGTCAATGATGGAACTAGAATATATACCAAACACTTGAGATGCCTTCTTACAAAGGGATTGCCACCTTGGTGGCTTCGTTCACTTCTGCTGAGTGGGTTTTCATTTTCTTGTTTCCACTGAGTTTTTCCATTGATACCCTTTCCCCGGCATTCAACTCAGAACTCCTAACTTTCACACTTGGAAACCAGCCTCACTAAATTTGGTCTTTGTCCAAGACTCTAGGGACTCTCTCCCTCTATGCTTTGACTCCAGCTCTTCTCTCAGACAAAAATGTCTTATTCCACTTTCCAACAAGCTCCCCCTCATGCTTCAACTTTCATATTAAATAAAAATCTCCATGGAAGATTCCCCAATTAATATCCTATCCCCAGGCCTACCCATAACACAACCCTAACCCTAATCCTACACTAGCCCTAGCCCTAATCTTAACACTAATCCTAACCAAAGAGTAGCCATAGACCTAACATGAACATCAACCCTAGCCCTAAATGTATTCTAACCCTAATCCTAACCCTAACCCTAGCTCTAAACATAATCCTAATCTTAACCCTAACCCCAGCTCTAACCCTGTACCTAACCCAAACCTAAAGCCAAATGCTACTCTAGCCCTAGCCCTAAAACTAACCCTAACATAACCATTACCCTAATCCTAGCCCTATCCCTAGGCCCTAACCCTAACCCTAGCCCTAACTCTAAACCTAACCCTAGCCCTAGACCTAATCTTAACCAAAACTTAACCCTAACCCTAACCCTAACCCTAGCCCTAACCCTAACCCTAACCCTACACCTAACCCTAGCCCTAACCCTAACACTAAACCTAGCCCTAACCCTAACCCTAACCCTAACCCTAAACCTAGCCCTAATCCTAATCCTAACCCTAACCCTAACCCTAATCCTAAACCTCACCCTAGCACTAACTATAACATTAACCCTAACCTTAACCCTAGCCCTAGTCCTAATCTTAACCCTAAACCTAAACATAGCACTAACCCTAACCCTAACCCTAGACTTAAACCTAACCCTAACCCTAGATCTAGCCCTAATATTTTTATTTTTATTTCTTTTTTTAAATAAATCTTTATTGTTCATATTATTACAGTTGTTCCTCTTTTTTCCCCCCATAGCTCCCCTCCACCCAGTTCCCACCCCACCCTTTGTCCTTACCCCCCAACACTGTCCTCATCCATAAGTGTACGATTTTTGTCCAGTCTCTTCCCACACCCCCCACACCTGATTCTATTATATTCACCAGTTTACTCTGTTCATCAGATTTTTTATTCACTTGATTTTTAGATTCACTTGTTGATAGATATGTATTTGCTGTTCATAATTTTTATCTTTCCTTTTTCTTCTTCCTCTTCTTAAAGAATACCTTTCAGCATTTCATATAATACTGGTTTGGTGGTGATGAACTCCTTTAGCTTTTTCTTATCAGTGAAGCTCTTTATCTGACCTTCAATTCTGAATGATAGCTTTGCTGGATAAAGTAATCTTGGTTGTAGGTTCTTGGCATTCATCACTTTGAATATTTCTTGACACTCCCTTCTGGCCTGCATAGTTTCTGTTGAGAAA